AAGAGACTTACAGGTCAATTTTCCCTGATGAACATACATGCAAAAATTCTCACCAAGATTCTAGCAGACCATATCCAACAACACATTTCAAGGATTATCCATCATGACCAGGTGAGCTTCATTCTTGGGATGCAAGTCTGTAAGTGTAATTCAGTATATTAACAGGTGTCAAACCAAGAATCATATGATTATCTCATTAAATGCAGATTTGATAAAATTCAGCTTCACTTCTTGATAAAAACCCTTTAACACCTTGGCATCAAAGAAACATTCCTCAAAACAGTAAGAGTTAGTTACGACAAACCTGCAACCAACATCATGCATAATGGGCAGAAGCTGGAAGCATTCTCCCTAAGAATTGGAGCAACACAAGGATGTCCACTCTCAACCCTCCTATTCAACACAGTACTGGAAGACGGAGCCAGAGCAATAAGGCAGGACAAGGAAATCAGCGGTTTCCAAAGAGAAAAAAGAAAGTTAAATTATCCCTCTTTGCAGTTGTATGGTTCTATACCTAGAAAATCCTACAGAGTCTGACAAAAACTTCGTCTCACTGAAAAACAACTTTGGTAAAGTCTCAAGATACAAAATCAACATGCAAAAAGACAGTTGCATCTCTACACTGCCAACAACAAGCAGGCTGAGAATGAGCTAAAAAACACAATCCCATTCACAATAGACACACACAAAAATACAATACCTTGGCATCCACCTAACCAAAGAAGTTTTACAATTTTTACAATGAAAACTACAAAACACTGCTCAAAAAAATCAAGGATGATACTAACAAATGGAAAAATATCCTATGCTCATGGGTTGGAAGAATCAATATCATCCTACCCAAGACAATCTACAGATTCAATGCAATCTCTATCAAACTGCCAGCATCATTTTTCACAGACCTAGAAAAGACAATACAGAAATTCATATGGAAGCAAAAAAGAGTACAAATAGCTAAAACAATCCTCCGCAAAAGGAACAAAGCTGGAAGTATCATACTTCCAGACTTTAAACTTTATTTCAAGAATACAGTATCCAAGACAGCATGGTATTGGTATAAGAATGGATACACTGACCAATGGAACAGGGTAGAGAATCTGGAAATAGAAACATGGCCCCTTCACCAACTCATCTTCAACAAAACCATTGATAATAAACACTGGGGAAAGGAAACCCTATTTAGCAAATGGTTCCAGGAAAACTAACCACATGCAAAAGAATGAAACAGGACCCCTACCTCTCACCATATACAAAAATTAACTCAAAATGGAACAAGGACTTAAGTGTGAAATCTCAAACTATATGACTCTTAGAAGAAAGCATAAGGAACACCCTCCTGGACATCAGAGTAGGCAATAAATTCATGGTAAAGTCCTCAAAAGCAAATGCAACAAAAGCTAAGATAGACAGGTGGGGCCTTATCAAACTGAAGAGTGTTTGCACAGCAAAAGAAACCATTAAGTGAGTAAAGAGACATCCCACGGAATGGGTAAAAAATATTTGCAAGCTAGGCATTTGACAAAGGCCTAACATCAGGATCTACAAGAAACTCAAATGAATCAACAGGAAAAAAACAAACAACCCCATTAAAAAGTGGGCAAGGGACATGAACAGGCACTTATCAAAGGATGACATACAAGCAGCTGATAAACACATGAAAAAATGCTCAGCCTCACTAGTCATCAGAGAAATGCAAATCAAAACTACTGTGAGATACCACCTAACACCGGTAAGGTTGGCCATCATTAATACAACAAAAAAACAACAGGTGCCAATGCGGCTACAGGGAAAGGGGACACTTCTACACTGTTGGTGGGAATGTAAGCTGGTTCAACCTCTGTGGTAAGCAGTGTGGCAATTTCTGAAATAACCAAAAATTAAGCTTCCATACAATCCAGCAATCCCTCTCCTGGAATTATATATACTCAGAGGAACATAAATTGCACCACTAAAAAGATACCTGCACACACATGTTTATTACAACACTATCCACAATAGCAAAAACATGGAACCAACCCAGATGCTCATTGACAGTGGACTGGATAAAGAAAATGTGGTACATATTTTCTATAAAATGGAACCAACCCAGATGCTCTTTATCCAGTGGACTAGATAAAGAAAATGTGGAATATTATGCAGCCATAAAGAAGAAAATCATGGCCTTCAAAGTAACTTGGATGCACCTGGAGACAATCATTCTGAGTGAACTATCACAGAAACAAAGAACTAAATAATACATGTTCCCACTCACAATTGGGTCCTGATCACTGGTAACACTAGCATAAGGGTGGGATCGTCAGATGATGAACATTGCTAGGAGATGGAGGGATAGTGGAGGGAAAGGGCATGTGGCAACACACTGGGTACCTGGTTCACTATCAGGGGGAGAGAGGGTCAGCTAGAAGCCCAAACTTCACCTGCATGCATCCTACTTATATAGTAAATTCCCAAGTGTACCTCACAATTCTAAAATTTAAAAAATAGCATTTTTAAAAAATGTCGTTTGTATATATCCAAAATGTGACTCCTCATTTTCTACACATACTCACTCTAGCCAGAGCCTTTCTCATTTTGGTTTATGTAAATTTATCCATTCAGTTGCAGGATAAGAACTTTGGAGTAAACCTTGATAGATCTTTTTTTCATCCTCTGCATTTCATCTATCAGAAAATCTTGTTCATTTAATCTTCAACCAATAAAATATATTTTAAAATATACTTGTGCACTTTTCTCATTGCTAACACACTGGTCCAAGTCATCATCTCTCTGGATTATTCCTTGACTAGATTCTCCGTTACTCCTCTTGCCCTCTACAGCCATTCTCAATGCAACAGTCAGAACGATCCTTTTAAACTGCAGCCCAAACATGTCAGTCCTTTACTCAAAACCCTAAAATGGCCCTCCATTTTTCTTAGAGAAAAATCCAAAATTATTATTATGGCCTATAAGACCAGATGATCTCTCCCATGAGTACTTCTGTGACCTCATCACCCCATCTCCCCCTCATTCCCATGTAATCACACTGCCCTCTTTGCTGCTAGTTGACTATTCCAAGCAGAAATATGCTATTCAAGGAATAGCAAGATGATCACTGTGCCTGGTTGAAGAAAATGTTAGAGAGCTAGATAGTAGCCAAATCAGGTAGAGCATTGGAGGCTACAAGAAAGAATTTAGGCTTTATTCAACAAGAAATAGAAATTATGGTACCACATTTCTTTTTTTTATCTAGCCCAGTTTCAATGCACAGCATGGTTGGTTCCATGTTTTTGCGACTGTAAATTGTGCAACTTGGCTGGATTTAGAGTCTATAATACTCAGTGATTTATCATAGAAACAAAGAACTAAGTACCGCATGTTCTCACTCATAAGCGGATTCTGAACATTTATCATACTATAAGAAAGGGATTGGCAGTAGCCAGAAACTGCCAGTGGAGGGAAAGGGAGAGGGCACATAGCATCAATAAGGGTAACTTATCTCAAACCAGGCTAAGTGGGGACCAAAGGGAGGCCCAAACTTTATCTGTATGATGACCACTTATATACCTAATCCAGAATTGTACCCCACATCTTTAAAATAAAATTTTTTTTAAAATTGTAGCAAGAAAAAATAATAATTACATCAAAAAGGAGAAAGTTTATAATCATTCCCAAACCTCAAGTTACAGCTTCAGAGCTGTTTTTATACAATTTTATTTTATTTTCAGTGGATCAATGTGTATTAATCCAGGGGAATGTGATGTCATGACATAAGTATAATATGAAATAATTAAATAAAGTTAACCAATATGTTTAACACTTAAAAAAAAAAAAAGAAATAGAAATTCACTGAAGGGTTTTCAACAAGTGAATGTTAACCTGATTTGTCTTTAAAAGATCACTAGGTATACTTAACGTTTACTTGGGCAAGGTAAAATTTTCATAAATTGCGAGTAAGTGAAGAGCAAAGAAGAATTAGAAGAATATTGCAGTAGTCCTGGCAAAATAAAACAGCAAATTATACCACAAAGATCAGATTCAGGATCTATTTTAAAAATAGAGCTGAAAGAATCTGCTGATAAAGTTGTAAGAAAAATAAAAAATCAATTATTATAAGACTAATGTTACTTAATTGCAAATATGACCAGATTAAAAACTACCTTAATTTAGCTAAGAAAATTCTCACAATGCAAAGAATAAACTTGCATTTTGTTAATTCAACCTCAGTATAAATCTAATGTAATACTTTATTATGTAGATTTCAAAAGAAGAGTACTTGTAAGAAAACTTTCTCATAAACACTAACTACATATAGAAAAATAAAAGAACATTAAGTTTGAAAGTACAGTGTTAGATTGGAATCAAAGAGAATATACCTTTTTTTTTTTTTTTTTTGAGTTGGAGTCTCACTCTGTCGCCCAGACTGGAGTGCAGTGGCCACTCCCAGCCACAGCAAGCTCGACCTGCTGGGCTCCGGCAACCCTTCTGCCTCAGCCTTCCAAGTAGCTGGAACTACAGACACGCGCTACCACACCCGGCTAATTTTTTGATTTACTGTAGAGATGAGGTCTCGCCAAGTTGCCCAGGCGGGTCTCAAGCCCACAGGCTCAGGCAAATCACTCACCTCAGCCTCCCAAAGCGCGGGATTACAGGCTGAGCCACCGAGCCCGGCGTGAATATATCAAAAGATGTCTTCTTTTTGAATATCTAGTGTCCATAAAACTAGTACATCAATTCAATAATTAAAACATTTAAGATCCTCTGTTATTTAAATCTTTGGAACAAGAAACAGAATAAGTGTTTTAATTGAAAAAAAACTTACCTTGACCGTGACCAGGTTACCAGTTCACAGAGGAAAAATATTGAAACACTGTTTGATCCTAGGCAAAATGTCAAAGGCTTTCTCTATTGCTAGATCAGATGTACAAATTCATCCTAAGTCACCAGTGACAGAAATGCTTTACTTTAATGTAAAACATTTAATCAAACTAAAACAGAATTAAAATATTTTTAAAACACCTTACTCTGGCAGCAGAAGCAAAAGCATCAGGGCCATGAGCTGCATTTCTAATGCCATCTGTTCCAAAGAGGGCTCTAATGCTTCCAGAAGCATCTGTGCGTGCCACCCCAGAGTTTGCAGGTCCAAGTAATCTTTTCCATTCGCATATAGCATCATCTCTTAAAATCTCCATGGCAATAACAGGACCAGTAGTAATAAACTGGATCAGCTCACTATAAAACAGGTCAAAGATTAATTTCTTTTATCCATCTACTTAGGTATCTCTCTTAACAATAAGCATAAATTTAAATTTGCTTACTTCAGTACAAACATGAATACATAATGTCAGAACTATTGGAAATAGTGAGTTTTACATGAGCAGGATAAAATTTTCATATAATGAGTATCTTGCAGTGGCTCAATTCACTAAAATCACTAGCAATGTCAAATCAATTACTGTTGGCAGAAAAATTACTTCTTTATTGAATAAAGACTATTTCATTTACTTAAATGAATATTGTTGATCTATGCTTTTCCCATTGCTCTGAAAAATACAGAGGATTTCCTTTTTTATTTTCATATGGTTTACCATTGCAGTCAGGTACAGTTTCATAACACAGAAACTGATGAGAGTGATGGATGACTTGTAACTCATTTTCAGTAAGAATATATTTAATTCTTTTTATGTAGAACTAAATAGAAATCAAAGACTGACAAATAATTCTCAATCAGTAAAAACTGAATTGGTTTAGTAATAAAGAAAAAAAAGAAATCCACAAGTCTTCAAGAAATATCCTTTTATTAGTGTAAAAGCTACTCTGGGTTATTCCTAGCCTAAATTATGAAATTATACACATAGGTTCTTGACTAAAAATCCAGCACTGAGTCACAGCCGCCCAAGGTATAAAAAACAGTAAGTACTTCATTCTATTTTTCCACTTCTATATGTGTACAAGGCAGCCATGACAAGTTTAACTATGAAATAAGTGACATCTTCCCTCTTACTATGTTAAGCAGAGACAAAGTACTTTTTAAAGTAAGCTCAGCTGGGCATAGAAGTTCATGCCTATAATCTCAGCACTTTAAGAGGCTAAAGCAGGAGAATTGCTTGAGCCCAGGAGTTCAAGATCAGCCTAGGCAACAAATCAAGATCTCGCCTCTGTAAAAAAAAAATCAGAAAATTATCCAGGCGTGGTGGCAATTGCCTATAATCCCAGCTACTCAGGAGGATGAGGCAGCAGGATCACCAGAGCCTAGGAGGTTGAGGATGTGATGAGCTGTGATCGTGCCATTGCACTCCAGCCTGAGTTACAGAGTAAGACACCAACTCAAAAAAAAAAAAAATAGAAAATAAAGTAAGCTCATGTTTCTCTCTCATCCAAAGCAGAGAGAGAACAGGACCTTCCTGGAGAAAAGGAACGTGGTATATAACAGGCTCCTATGTGCCCATTAACTTAGGACTGTTTTACATACCTCCTTCCATCCTGCCCCATGTTATATAAGCCAACTCCCTTCAATCCTTCCTTTGAAAAGTACTCTGAATCATTTTGAAGAATATTTCTAAGAAATAGCATGTGCAAAATAGTATCCATAGCCACTACAGCAAGAAACCCACAGGACTTTCTCATACATATTCTGCTAGGCCTTAGCTGCCAAAACAAGCCCCAAAAAATATTTCCAAACCAACCATTAGATTTAAGGAACTTAAACCAAGGGAGCAAAGATATATTTATCCATTCAATAAGCATTTAATAATTACCTACCACGAATTAGACTCTAAGCTACAAAACAAGATCCCTCCCTCAAGAAATGCATAATCTAATGTCCTATTAATACAGATTTCTTGGCTGGGCATGGTGGTTACGTCTATAATCCCAGCACTTTGGGAGGCTGAGATGAGAGGATTACCTGAGCCTGTGGGTTCAAAATCAGCCTGGGCAACTTGGCAAGACCTCATCTCTACAATAAAAAAAAAAAAATTAGCTGGACATGGTGGTGCATGCCTGTAGTTCCAGCTACTTGAAAGGCTGAGGCGGAAGGATCGCCTGAGCCCAGCAGATCGAGGTTACGGTGGTAATGAGCAGCGTGCCACTGCCCTCCAGCCTGGGTGACAGAGTGAGACTCCAATTCAAAAAAAAAAAAAAAT